AGCATGTTTAGTGCTGTTGGGCTAGATGAATTTTGAAGAAAACACGGTCGACCGCCGGGGATTATTAGAGAAGCAGCATGGAGAAAGCTGGAAAATGAGGATCGTACAATTTTTATCCCAATATGTTATAGTAGAGATCAGTTGAAACGCTTACTGATGAACAGAGGGGAGAAATCCAGATTTCCAGAGCTTTAGAATATGATGCTCTGGACATTTGTTTTGTTAAGCTGCGTTTTCCTCTCCGGCGGGGGTATTGAAGCATGCAGCTGTTGAACTCCTTGTCGCTTGCTCTCTTTACGTATCGTCGTCGAAGAAACAATTTTTCTCGTTTGCCTGCATTTGACGAGGTTCATGTGGGGTTTACCTCAAGCGTGGGTTTGGGCATGTCCTACCATACAACCGCCATCAAATTCCATCCGTCCGCCTTGATAGGAGACAGCCGCAAACGAATTACTGCCAAGCCGATTTGAACTGGGCGAGCGTTGTGTTTCAAACACCCTACCAGAGGGTAGGTTTTATGAGCCTTTGATCAATTCTAGGAAAGATACGCAAAAAAGCTGAATTTAGCACATATCAGTTCTTTACAATTTTGCTTCTTGATTTCAACTTCTGAATGGATGCACTTTTACCAGGCCAGTCACCTACCAAATTTTTGTGGTACGAGCTCAAAGATATATAGGTATGATGTTCGTTGCATGGCTCTGCTTGAAATGTTCCTGGAAGTCTGGCAACCTTTTCCTTGACTCTGCAAGAAAATCAAGATACCGCAGGAGTATTTCCCGAAGTACACTTTGAGACACATCGCAGTAAAACTGAGTGAACGCTGTCAAAGAGGAGACAATCAAAGCTAGAGAAAAACGTGAAGCATAGGACAAAAGTTGGTTTTGGACTATGGTTGACACAAGAATATTTGGTTTTCCCGCTATACGGAAGCAATCTTGTGAAAAGGATTTGCTCCTTATCTATGCCGAGTTGGCTCATGGCCCAGAAGAAGTGTAAACCGGCCCCACGTATTAAAAAAGCTGAAATGTTTGATTTTTGTTTGACACGTTTATAAAAATTACGGTTATGTATAGATCTTCAATCTTTTACAGGCATTTGAACAATTCATTTCACTTCCAAATGAAAAGTGCAGCTAATATCTATTAGGTTGGTAAGAAAGTTCTCGGACATTTTCAGAAAAAATCTGCTATTTCTCGAAAGCTAACGCATATACATCAGAATGAGGTACCAATCGATAGAGCAAAGCAAGCTCTACAAGATGGTATGCAAAAGTTCACACCAGCCTCGACACATCGTATGTTTGCACTCAAAATCTGAGTCATACCAAAATTCAAAAAATCGCGAAAAATTCATATCTTTGTTCAAACAAATCCTCCGGATCTCTAACTCGCTCACAAAAATTCACACCACATTAGACACTCATATGCACCGTTCCTGTAATTTTTCCTCATCTAGAAATCGAAAAACGAAAATTTTCATGCTCATGTAAAAACGAAGCTGTACTGTTTCCACCCATGTATTTGAATACTACAAGCCTTTAGAAGTACACCGTAAATTTTCAGCTTTCTACGGGCCCTAGTTTCCGAAAATTAGCGATTTGAGCGCTTCTCACTCGGGCGTTCCATGCTAAAATTAATAACTAGGGCTTACGGAAAGCTGAATTTACGGTTATACTTCTAAAGGCTTGTACTATTCAAATACATGGGTGGAAACAGCACAGCTTCGTTTTTACATGAGCATGAAAATTTTCGTTTTTTCGATTTCTAGATGAGGAATAATTACAGGAACGGTGCATATGAGTGTCTAATGTGGTGTGAAATTTTTGTGAGCAAGTTAGAGATCCGGAGGATTTGTTTGAACAAAGATATGAATTTTTCGCGATTTTTTGAATTTCAGTACGACTCAGATTTTGGGCGAGAACTTACGGTGAATCGAAGCTGGTGCGAAACTTTGCATACCATCTTATAGAGCTTGCTTTACTCTATCGAATGATACCTCAGTCTGATGTATATGCGTTAGGTTTCGAGAAGTAGCAGATTTTTTCTAAAAATGTCCGAGAACTTTCTTACCAACCTAATAGTTAGCCTTCAAGAAATTGAGTTGAAAAAAAATGTCAAACACAAACACCGTGTGTCCCGGGCTGCTTCTATATATACCCCTTCGCGTTGCACGCACAGCCAGCTTTCAAGGCGTTTCTCGGTTTTCACCTCTGATAGGAGATGTCTTGCTTTTCGCTTCCATTTGATTACATCGGCTGTGTATATTTGAGATTGATATTGTTCGTGAAATCTTTCAAAGAAGTGTTTTGAAATCAATTCTTCTTTCCCTTCTGCTCCTATGGTTATCATTCCAACACAGCCGCGAATTTCAAGCTCTCAGTCATTCGATAGATGAGTGAGATTTTTAAAAGTTGTAGAGGCTCTGTCATGCGAAGGTGCAAAACCTAGGGGGGCGAACCTGATTTCATTGGCCGCCGAGGGCATGAGGTGCAGATTATAACTGATGACACGCGCATCTTTCGAACTTCCAACTAACATTGCTTTTGCGCTTTCGTCGGCATTAGCCTTTACACGACCTAGTTTTGCATATGATACACTACATGTAGAGACACACCTAAGGCATGCAGATAGGTAAAACACGCTATCGAGAATATTCGTACATACTGAGATTGACCGTATGTTTGGATAAAAAGGAAAGGGACATTGAGAATAACAATAAAGACGTTTCAACAAAAATTTTGCGGAATTTTTTAATAGGGTTAGAGATTCAGTGAATTTATGACAGCTATGCATACGTAAACGACCTTAAAATGGAGGTGCAACAAATTATGACCTGTCATTTTTCTTAAAACATGTGATTAGCAGTTCTAGCCACTTGAACTGAAATCCACAGAAGTATAGACCACGCACCACAAAAAAGACCCAGTTGAAAAAGAGGACCCGAAACGAAACATCAGGAGGTTTTCATCATGGATTTGTTATTTCACCGCCATCACGTAGCTTCAATATCACGTGCCATCTAAATCTAGGAAAAGCCTTCTCATCAGCTTTATTCCCGCATGCTAATAATGTTAAAAGGATAAGAAAATTTATTTAGACAAATATATGGATATCGATTCTCCTCTCCCTTACAAAGGGCAGAAACAGCTTGCCCATGTGCCAGTCGTGCCTAAACTCTTACTTTTTCTTAACTTTCGACCGCTGAACTATGCATATAAGGGTTTAAAATTTCGACAATAATCTCCTTCCAGACTCGTCGTGTATACATAAGTGCGTTTTTGTCGCAATACTTAATACGTACAGCGTTTCTAGTTTGTGCCTTTTTTGAGATGACTGTCATATGGTCAGGTGTTTTCCGGTTACAGTATTCCGGCAAAAATGCAGTATCTATTGAATTTAAGAAAGTGAAGATCACTTTCAAATAGTGATGCTATTACCATCTACCATACAATGTTAATCGTAGTGATTTGAAGGGGGGTAGGAAGTTAAGGTGCTGATATGCAAGCGTGAATACAAGAACACCCATCTAGTAGCCTTTTCAGCTATGGAGTAAAATATATGAGGCATGACAGCAGAAAGGTGTCAGAGACTCCAAATCATATATCCTTTTGTTCGTTGGCACTTTCTATGGGCACTGCTGAAATTTCAACCCAAAAAATAAATATGGAAGGGTTTTTCTGTAATCATATCATAAATGTTGAATCTCGTTTCCTTATGTAATAGTTAGAGAGCCTGGCAACATATTGGCACTCATGCTGCACATAACTTTGCGTTACACGTGCACATTGTCTCATGTTAGGGCTTGGCGTTTTATCGCTAGTTTCAACAAACATTAGTTTTCCATTTCAATTGCAAATGGATTGATGAGCTATAGTCATTTCTGAAAATAAAGTCCTACGAGTTGGTGGATGTTTTATATGTTTTGAAGTAAAATGACAAGAAAACGGTTTGTTCCAATTTTGTTTCCGTGTCCTGCTCCGCCTAAGTTTGAAAGCAAGCTGTGTATAAAGTGCCCATATTATAATCAACGGCTGAACATTTTTTTCGTATTTAAGAGCGGTTTCGCAACGAAATTAAAGCTCATGCAGCGTTTAAAGTATGGAAACCGTTCAAACACTGTAGACGATTGCTCGAAATAGTTGATAACACAAAATTTTGTCACTGCTAAGAAAACGAACGACTAAGTGAATGTAATGCGCAACTTCTAATTGAAATGGTAAACTATTATTATTAGCGTATTCTGCTGATGGAACGCAGTAAAATAAAGTAAATTTTTTCTGAACGCAGACGTGGAAAATAAGTGTATGAGCAAGTTTGCGTCAAACTATTTTTATGTCCATTTTGAACCAAGAGCGGGTCCGCTTGAGCTGGACTTTGTGAAATGCCTAACTTAATCATTTGTCTGTCATGGATCAGCCTTTTATCGCTCTACAATTGGTTTATTAGAATGCCACATGTGGAACACTTTTTGACGGTGATCACCACCTGTGCTGAATTTCTGCTTTCTGACAGCAGAATGCTGCGAACGCTGCGTTCCATCAGCAGAATGCTACCAATTTGGTTGACGAAACCTCAATACACCTTTTTTTAAATCTATGAATTGATGATCTAAGCAAACACAGCTGACAACAAATCATCAACAAATTTCGTTTTTTGCGGTATCGCAAGTTGCTTAACTATTGCGCAAGAAACATCATTCAAATTAACTTTCGAATCATTCACGAGCTTAATATCGATAGGGTGCCTGAGCGCGGAAAAAAACATTAGGCTCACTTAGAAGAAGAGTTTTCGCTACTGATTGACGTTCATATTCAGCTACCATGTGACAGCGAACGTTTCAGTTTGTTTCTCAATGCGATGCAGCGGGTTCCTAATCATCAATGTTTCCTGACTGCAAAGAAAATGAATGCTTTATGATCGTACACTGCCAATAGAGACGAAATTTTTCTTTGTAAACTGGCACCTTCAAACAAAGTCTCTATGCCGATCTTCTTTTTTAGGTCACCTCGTCATTTCGTTTATTAAAATGAGTCCATGGGCGGGGCAAAAGCTGTCACCACGGCTCCGCCTACAAACGCACTCTACCTAGTTTTGCGTGTTACATCGACGTATCCTAGCCAAACGCCTTTTGGCAGCCGCAAACATTCACTACGATTTCGAACATCTGCATAGTAAAATCGAGCACCGCACACGATGTCGATGAAGAGAAGAAGTTTCCTCGTCAAGCTGATGAAGCTAGTAGGCAGAGGAAGTAAGTTGCTTTTGAGTTTCTTGTATCGGATGGCTTGGCTTGCGCAATTCCTGTTAGCTACTTTCAGCTATAGCTGCCTTCATGCTTGTTTCATCGCCCGCTTACTCAAACTTTGATTTTACTCATCCTCAATAGAATTTTGCTCTGCCTTTTGTACTAATAGTGTCGTTGCTTAAACGAAGTGGAGTATCATATCATCCTTGTTCACCAGACTTTCAAAATCTCCAGAAAATAGTCACCTGCAAGATCGAGCAAAAAGAAAATTTTTGATTCGCTATCATTTTTTTACGAGTTCGAGAAAGAGCCACGCGTAAGGAGAGTCTTTAGTTGGTAACTCCTATATCACCGACACAGTACGAATAAAACAGCAGATATAACATGATTTCCTTTCCCAGTAACTTATTCTTGCTTGACCCCTCACACTTCCTGATAGCACTAATAAATTCCACAAGATAGGTTTGAGGTATTTGAGCAGAATCATAACCGGACAGCTTACTAGCACGTGAAGGGCTGTCGACAATTTTACCAAAAGTCAAATGGATAAAGTGTGATTACGGCGCTTGCGGGTAACAAAAATTCCATTTCACTCGTGTACTTCTCTAACTTCATCAACGGTCTTCGTCAATCAACGGTGCGACATGCGCTCGAATTGGGTGCAAAGGTCTTATCTCGATGATCTTATCTTTATTCGGTTCTTCAAGCACTTCCTAAAATACTAAAAATGGATAGTAATAACAGTCGGTAGCAGAAAATTCGTAAAAGGAATGCCTCCTTTAATGCCATATATTATGAAAAGATATATCAGGTTGCATCGAAAATTTGTTGTTTGGAATGACTATACATTTTCCTACAATGAAATCTCAAATACGTTCTAACATGCATTCACTGCAGCTCTTCATTATATTTCCAAAAAATACACTGCGAATCTTGCTCAATTTCTTCTTTGCCAAGGTTTAAAGAAAGGAGAACTTTTGAGTTACACTGCGAATCATAATCTTTCATATGCTTCTAGGTAATTGCCAAAATCCTTCACACGACATTCTTACCTGCTCCAAGTACGACTGACTTCCATGGTTCGAAAAGGGTTAGGTATGACTCCAGTAGAGCAAATTATAGGACTATACGGTAGTGCTTTTAGAAATTCGATCTGCTGTTTGGAGCCTTGAAATTGATGAATTTGATTTTGGGGAAGTTATAAAACATGCAGACGCAGCAAAAACATGCTTTCAAGGTTCCTGCGAGTTAGACTTAAATGTTATCAAATGTCATTTGTGCAAGATAAGTAAATACGATATGCTTTGAAATACTTGATTTATTGGTACTTCTTTGCGCGAACGTGCTTGAGTAATAGGATGTTCTGCCAATAAATAATTATTACAGACTCAAAGAACCAGATTTCGGTAATCCAAGATGAAAGGATGCCAAAGCCCCTCTACTAATCTGCCAGCGCTTTATGAAAATGGAAGGGTAAAAAAATTTAAGATAGAGGAAAATTTGACGTCATTGCTCAAGAGCTATAGCGATAACACCGCAAAAACTGCATGCTCAGAAAAAAGATGTAGCTACTGAAAGGAGGATGAATCTGAATCGAATGATACTTAAGTCACTAATGTCAGTATTTTGTGAGTTTCCGTGATCGATTGAATAAACCGACGAAACTCCGAGCTAATATGTGCGGATAGGTCCTATTTTACAATGAGAGAGTAGTTCGGATTGTGAAGATCTGAATTACATCATAGAACCATTCTTTCATACTATTTAAGTTCCATTATGCAATAATTTTCAAAGTATAGTGATGTTACGTCATTCTTTTACATTTTAGATCAAGTTCAATCTTCAAAAGCATGCTTGGCGCAGATTTACGAGAGTAGAAAAAGGCAACGCCAGCGGTAAGTACTTTGTTTTATGGTTGGCAACAAGTAATGCAACTTTTTATATAGTTTTTGTGTTTATGATCCAAGCGCATTTATTTTCTGGCAAGATTAGGATTATGAAGTAAACTGCAAATGCGGACAATTTGCCGAATTTTGCCATTTCTAATGTATGGATTATGATAGATTTACGGTACAATGAGAAAATTTTCAACTTGCGTCAGACTTTGCTTAAACTCGACCTATGGGTTATTCGACATGCTAATCACTACAATGAGACCCGGTAAAAGGTCTCCTTCGTAAAGTCAGAAAATGAATGTTGTCTTAGCAACAAATGAATATGATATTCGTGTTCATCGTATTGGATTACCCCATTGTGCAAGGATTTAGGCCCGTATGCACGTACATCCCCGCGGGGAGGGGAGGGGATCTGAGAGGGGAAGCGCCATATCTCACTGCTCTAGATATCTTTCTTTTTTCTTCTCTATCGTGCTTATAAGATTTCTCATATCCTTATACCTGCGCATAATAGATGCCAGGTTACTGCTATACAAGATTAAATATTCACTATTTTTCCGATCCCCTGGGGATCCCCAGGGGATTAACTCACATTTCCAAAGTCATTTATCTTCGTGAAAAATCAATGAAAACGCTGCAAAATTGCACTGAAGATATACTACGATACTGCTGAGCATGTTTTCGACAGAAAAAATGGAATCTGAAGTTTTTGATTTTTTCGATAATCCCTGGCTCGCGAGCAGCGGTTCATCGAAAATTTTGATATCTTGAGATTTTACTCATTTCTACCATAAATACGTTTAGCAGTGCTGTAGTATATCCATAGTACAATTTTAGAACATTTTCATCGAGTTTTCAGAAAGATAAATAACTTTGAAAATGTGAGGTGATCCCCTGGGGATTCCCAGGGGATCAGACGAAATAGTGAATATCTAATCTTGTATGGCAGTAAGCTGGCATCCGTTATGCGCAAGTATCAGTGTATGAGAACCTTCAAAACCAAGATAGAGGAAGAAGAAGAAAGATACATAGACTAGCGAGATATGACGCTTCCCCTCTCAGATCCCCTCCCCTCCCCGCGGGGATGTACGTGCATACGGGCCTTAGTGAATTCTGAGGTTTCGCGGTTTAGTTATTGACAAATTGTCTTCGAATCTTGACACATTTGACTTGTTCTACTTCTCAAAGGTTCCTCATTTTAGTTTGTCCTAAAATTTCACTTCCTTTTTACTGATTCCAATGTCTCGACTTCTAGCTAAATGCTGCCTCTGATTTCTTTATGATATGTTTGATCAGGTTGTACGGCTTCATGTTTGCCAAAATACCGTGAAACCTCGATTTTCAAGAGTTTTTGAAAAATGCTGCAATTTTTTTCAACGTATCATAAATCAAACAGTTTGCGCGGGCTTGCAGCTTACGTCACACTCTACACGATGCCAAAAAATGAGGGTGCTACATCTAGTAAGAAGAAAATTATAGGAAAAGTTGCAAAACTTATGTGCCAACCTAATAATAGTCTTGTCAAAACTGCATGTTCTTGAGTCAATAAGGATCGTGTAGTGCTCAAAATGCTCTAGAATTATAGATTTACAAACATCGCAAAATGAGTGAGAATTGATTGATAGGCTGAAAGTTGAACTGCGGCACAACTGGAGAAGTTTATGATTAAGTTTTCTGGTTTTTATATAGGTAGGTGAACATTGCAAGAGTTGTTTTACGTAAACACCTTCTTCTGCTCGCCTCTTGAAAAATAAAGTTTGTTTTTCATTCAGCTTGATAGTAGCCACTGATCCAAATATGAGATACTGGCATTTAGACTTTTGAGTCCGGCAGTTTGCTAACAGTAAATAAATGATATTCAAATTGTTTCTCTTTATGTAAACTTCATAGACCCAGCTCAAGTAAAGTCATCAGGTGGAAAAGCTAGTAGTTTAAAGCACCAAACTTTGTTTGTAAGATTGGTACGGAGCTTATTCAACGACTGCTGACAGGCAGAGTTTTGATAATGTCAGTCAAAGTATGGCTCTAAAAATTTGTTTTTATAATAAGAAGGGAATGCGCTCAGTTAAATGCATTAATCCGTTGCGTAATCAACGTGCTCTGATTATCGGGGAACAAATGCCGTAATAAGAATTCTCATAAATTATTGTGTAGAGAGCGTTTCAAATTAACGTCGTTGATAAGTTTCCGAGCTGAAGTTGGCTGCTTGAAATCTGTCATTTGCTGGTAAAGCGGACGTTTTTTGTGAGGAAAGGCGCCAAGATATACTTCATGTTGCACTGAGCTTTCGCATTGCAACAAATTTTATCATTGAGCGTAAAGGAGTAAAGACTTTTTACTCATTTAAACCACTCACAAACTGACGTTTGACAAATCCTCAGATGATATAGTGACAGAACTGACAAAATCTCGCAAAGTATGGCCTGAGTTCATGTATATCGTTAGATGTCTGAGCTCCTGCTAATGCGTTGGCGAAAATTATTCAAATTTATGTTGTGTCAAAAGTCATTCATAGCAGTGATTCCAGAACATTGCTGTCGTCGCACCTTTTTCGCATCAAGCCTATGCCGACAATCATGGAAGAAGACGAATCGGCGTTCGTTTCGCTCGAACTCTCAGATTTTGAACGCTTTTTACGTGAAGCTCACGAACACTAGTTACCGATACGAGTTCCCTCTTCTTCCCTTCACTAGCAAAACCCATTGCCTCACGAGACTGAGTAGGTACGAGACATTAACTGACTATCACAATCTATCCCAAACAATCATATTTTGGAAATATTTAGATATGAAATTACAGCTTCACCGCATTGATGGTGAATCACATTTATGTATCCGCCTCCCCCGACATTAAGAGAATTTCGCTGTAGAAGAATACCTACTGTTTTATTTTCCTTCTCTAGTTTTCTGAGTTCTTCAATAGGTCTTTGATTATGATATTTGTATCATTTTTTTAAAGCTGAAAGCCTCGATTGCGCTTTGCACACGTAACTCAATGATGTCATCTATTTCACCGCCAAGGTTTTAGCACTTGAAAGAAGAAGAAATCCGAGTTTGTTTGAAGAAAGTGTGCAAAGTGTTTCCAAGCCTCCTAACAAAAACATGTTGATTTTCATGCAATTTGAGTTTCAGCAATGTAGGACAAGGCTGTGTATATCCCTGCTTACTCAACGGGTTCAACAATTAATTATACTTGTTCATTTCTGTTTTACTTGTATGTTGCACAGTGTCAATTATCAACGCTGACACTTACGGAAATAAAGGAGATAACACGTTTGTTGTCAAGTCGAAAAAGATATAATCTACATGTAAAACCGCAAAGCAGAAAGCCTTCAATATATTAAGTAGGTCCGAAAGTTTGTGTCGCTTTTTGGACCTATTCTAAAATCGTTCAGAATGATGATAGACAAATTTTTCAAAAATATCCAATGCAGAATTTCTTCTTCTTTCCAGCAGCTATGTATACAAAGCGGCTATTTCGACGAGTGCTGAGATAATTGCTAAAAACTAGAACCCTTCATTTTTACGATTTCTAACTTTTGCTAATGTTCAAAATTTTTATTTTAGACTTTTGAAGGTGCTCTAATGACCACCTGATAGGGCAAACCTGCATATTGATGCGATTTTTTGCAGTTTTTCAGCTTCCTCTTTAGAATTTTGCTGAATTATTTTACCAGAGCATTAAATTTTGAGAAAATCGCGTGACACATGATTACACCAAACACTGCGAAATATTCAAAATATTGAAATTCTAGAGGTCGATCATTACTCTCACTAGTGCTACAAAGTAGATGAGCGATTACGGCACGAAAATGCTTAGATTTTGGAATTTCAACTTCAACCTTGCGCATCGGTAAGATTGGGAAGTACAGCGATTTTGTCTGCAAAAACCGCATGTTTCGCGAAGAAAAGGTAACTATCCGGTAAGCTGCTCAGCGTCTGATGTTTTGCGAGGTGGGAATGAGCCAAATATAAAATTGGTCACTTCAAAAAATACATTTTAGTATTAGGTTGGTCCGAAAGTTCTGTCGTTTTTTCTCAAAAATTTGTAACTCCGCGAAATTTCAAAGGATTTGCTTAATTGTAATTTTATTAGAAAGAATAAGTCTTTCGCTTTCAAATGCTGTTCGTGGAGCTTCTGCCTCATACTGGGAACGGAGATAAAAATAAAAACTAAGACCATATAAGCTTTGACAGTTAGGTCACCAAAAATCTGGAACGCTGCAAAAAAATCTGAAATCGTCAGTACATATGTTTTTTAGCCTACACTTTGCAACTGTGAAAAGTTTGTGCTGTTTGGACTTCTCTGTGAGAAGTTATGATTTTCGCGAAAATTGACAAATTAATTAATTTTGGCGTTTTCCATAGTAAACTCGATATTCATAACTTCTCACAGAGACGTCCAAACAGCACAAACTTTTCACGGATGTAAAGGGTAGGCCATATGTACTGACGATTTCAGATTTTTTTGCAGCGTTCCAGATTTTTGGTGACCTAACTTAAAATGGTCAAAGCTTATATGGTCTTAGTTTTCCATTTTTATCTCCGCACCCAGTATGAAACAGAAGCTCCACGGAACAGCATTCGACAGCGAAAGGCTTATTCTTTCTACTAAAATTATAGGCAAGCAAATCCATTGAAATTTCGCGTAGTTACAGATTTGTGAACATGAAACGACAGAACTTTGGGGCCAACCTAATAACTCTAGAAAGCCTGCCAAAAAGATGCAAAAAACTGCATTGATTTGAAAAGGTTTGCCTTATCAGGAGGTTATTAAAGCACCTTCAGAAGTCTGAAATGAAGATTCTGAAAATTAGCGATTAAACATGGTAAAAATATAGGGTTCTAGTTTTCGGCAAGTATCTCAGCTCTCGTCAAAACAGCCGCTTCGCAAACATAGCTGCTGGAAAGAGGAAGAATTTCTGCATTGGATGATGTTTGAAGAATTTGTCTATCATCTTTCTGAACGGTTTTAGAATAGGTCCAGCAAGCCGCACGAACTTTCGGACCAATCTAATAAAAATAATAAGCCTACGCTTATTATGAACTTCTTACACAATAACGTAAAAAATTCTGTACTCCGTAATGTACTGCAGCAACCCTTTACTTTGTTCTATCAGCGCAGTATTTCTCTCAAAGCATGGACATAGCTTGCGCGTTTTTGATCGCCAAGCGAGATTCGATGACTGGCAACATGTCTTCAAGTGAGGACTTCCGGAATGCAAATCTTTATATGTGTTAGTCTCATCATACAAAATATGCGCTCACGATGTTCTAAACAGTAAGAGTATTATCAAACTGCGTATCGACTGGGATCTCATGAGAAATGTCAGGTGCATCAGATAGGCGTCTACAGAGCATTTGTACATGGTTAATTTGCTTTTAATATCTATGCGAAGATGGAGGATGATCTAGCAAATCTAGCAACAAGTGAATGATTTTACAATGAAGATGTCGGTTTGATCCGCATTTGCGCTGCTAATCTTCCGAAGAATTGCTCTGCGAATAACGAAAATCGCTTTAATATCAGCTTTTCAAAAATTCAGAATATGCTGCTAGTCTGCTGTACTGATGTTCTTTCAAATAAATGCTCTACAAATAAAAGAAACAATTGTGAAATCAGCTTTTCAAAAACTCAGACGATATTCGTATCTCAAACAGCTCCGACTATATCCTCAACCTTGAAAGAACATACATTTTTCAAAGATTTTTATCGCTGCACTGCATGGCGAAAAGTACTGAGCAGATTTTGACAATTTAGCAAACGTTAATCAATAATGAATGTAATCCACCATTGCCTTTTCACTGTTCTCAATTCACTAGGTTTACCGGATCCACCTGCGTCCATTTCTTTTGGAAAAAAAATTTCAAAAACCTCCAAAAATTTGTAGGAAGTCGAGTAATGAAGTCACCGCGCATGAGTACTCTAGTACACAACTTTTCAAATTTTTAGGATTTTTTTTTCGAAAAGGGTAGTAATCCACAGTGATCCTTATGCTTGAAGTTCCTCGTAATCCTACATAATGGAAAGCGATGGTGATCCGATCCATGCTGTGAATTTGAACCTAAGCTGAAGTCAGCTAAAAATGGTGTCTACAGGTCTCGAAAGAGTATATGACAAGAGAGTTACTAACAATCAAACAGTAGGCATTTTTTGGGTTACCCTTTATACATATATATGAGGCTGAAAGGTAACAAAGTCTTTCGAAGGCTAAAGCTTCTACCGAGTAAGCCAATAGTACGCGTCATTAAAAAACTGGCCCATCCAGTAGCATTTTTGCGAAAAGCCGCAAAGGATATAATAACGAATGATTCATTTCAATCGTTAAACATATAATAGAAAAATTACCAAATTTCTTAGCCAGCCCACGTGTAAATTTGTGACTCATTTTCAATATACCTTTACAATTACGGTAGCAAGACTAACCAGGGAAGGATACTTGGTGACCGTGGCCATTCATAATGACTTGTATATCAAAAAATGCGCCTTTTAATGCTGATTCAAAATCTGTTTTCCATATCTGCGAAACGATAACCTGGATGGAGTTATGATTATTTTTTCATTAATAATTTGCACTACTGCGGAGGGTCAAAATCATTGATGAAAATTTTTCTTTCCTTCTCAAATGCTGAATATTATTTAGATAGGTGTAATACAATAGTATTCCTTTTAAAAATTTCTTTCAATAGCTTCAAACGGTAACCTAGAACGAATTTGGTGATTTTGACTAAACAAAAATACGCAAATTTTCAACGAAAAAAAGTTCATAACTTACTTCAGAAGATCGTTTCGCAGATATCGAGCACAGATTTAGAATCAGCGTTTCGAGGTGCATCTTACGGGGTACATCCCATTCCTAATGGCTTCGGTCACCGAGTATCCTTTCCTTGTAAGTGGCACATACCAGTTCTGATTCTGCTCCAAGAATTTCGACGTTCCCATTGTATCATGTTGGCGTATTTTCGTCTTTTTATTGTCTCCAGCCATAAAATCCCGATTTTTCCAGAAATTTATTCCCTACGCATATTCACGAGTTGCTATGGTGCTACGGTTTTGGACGCTCAAGCCACCAAGTATGGACAAGAAAAAGCTGGAAAAATGAAGGAAGATAACCAAAATTCAAAAGATTTCGCAATACTGCTGTACAACACTGTTGTGTATATATACCAATTCGAAAAGCTGCGCAGGAACCTCTGCTAATTGCAAAATTGAAATAGTCTCGCCAACCACGTTGTATAACGGTACATGCGGAACACTACTCAAATCGTGTCATAAATTTCGTAGTAATATAGCAGCTATGTTTTGCAGTGCTCGCTGATTCACTGTTACGATGTGAAGTCATAGTTGCGTGATTCTCCGAACATTCCCCTCTTGACGTAATCATGCAATGTGAATCTCTGTTCATAAAATCTAATGCGCATTGGTCATCAACTTCTAGTTTTTTGATCATGAAACTTGTGTAAGCCAGTATTGAGTGTACTGTGAAAATCGTTATGTTGACAACAGCAGCGTAATACTTTTTTGCTCATTACGTTAAACGTTGAGCAATAATTTTGTTATTAATGGTCCGTCAACAGTCTCCTCTTTGATGTTGCTATGTGATACAACAAAGTACTTGTTGCTGCGATAAAATTAATTCAAAATGTCACTTTTCAGTTTTTCAAGCTATTCCAAAATCAAATGGTAGGGCAAACTCTGTTGCTGAAATGCTTCAATCAGTTAATTAGCCATGGATGAGATGAAGTGCGAAGAATAGAGGCGGTGATCTGAAGCTGATTCAAACAACCAACCAAGTAGGCAAATTTACCAGACTGTTTTCCTACACCTACTCCCATATGCATTCAAAAAGTTACAAGCTGCAGCAAACATTTCACAACAACTTCACCTTCTTATAGAACTTCTGGTTTTGTAAGAGTATAACATTTTGAAAACAAAATTTCTAAAGCAATATTCTGACAACTTGAAGGGAAATCGATATGGTTAGACAAGTAATGCAGAAAGCCTTAGCAAAGTATCTCGCATGAAAGGGCATTTAGTAGTTGTAAAATTCTTACGAAATTTCGCATTGCTAGGGCTGCTGTATCATATTTTCATGCGACAGCAAAAAAATTGCAGTTATTCGCTAACGGAAAAGTAAAACAAAAGGTAACACCATATTACTTAGTCCAACTTTTAATAGTAAAACAGAGGAACTTAATGTGAATCATAGCTGCATATGCAATTACTGAAATCACTATCAGCTATCAATCATTTCGAATCCAAACTTTCACATGTGTATGTCGTTCCTTTTTGCTTTTTTTCAACAAATTTTTTTCTGCGGTAACGCTGATGTTGAGAGGCGGGGCTAATGCGCTGCCTTCGAATGCCATTTTATTTGATTTACTGCATAAATCGACGTCGCGTCTATAGTGTATTCAAAAGCTCTGTGGAAGCTCAATTAATACCTACAATCTAAGTATTTGTCTGGCTGTTGACTGTACGCTAATGTCAGTGTGGTTTGAGAGGGAAAGCTTACTCGTGAAGATGATAAAGCTGGTCAACAGAAGAAGTGAGCTGACTCTGCGTTTGTGATGTGTGAAATAGAGTTGTTGTATCTTGTTCATTCTTAGTGTAATTTTCACTGCTTGTCAGTTGATGCTAATATGTCTTTTCAAACATTTTCTAAACAATTTAGTCATGATCTTCCAAACCTCCTATATTTGATCTGAGCTATAATGAATTATTTGTACTCGCTCATTTTAGACTCGAAGACGCGTTCGGAGCAAATCCACGAGAAAAGGAAAAGGAAACGACAGCGGTCAGTATCTTAGTCCAATACTATTCGCATGAAAACGCCCGTTTATTTTCCATCGATTTTAACTAACTGCGTTTGTCCGCCTTGCAAAAGTGCTATGCTTTGAACAGTTTGAGAAGTAAAACCAAATATAGAAGGCCTCTACTGGTGAGTATATTGAGAACCTGAAGCTTTTTTGCACTGCATTAGCATGTGCTCGTAGAATCGGGATTTCAACCTCTGCAAAGAAAAGGTGAAGTAGTCACTTCAACAGTTGCAAAGTAGAGGCAGCAACTTGTCCAAACCTCGATCTAGGATGCTCGTCCGAATTCACTGTTCTCCGGTCACTTCAAAAATACGTCTAAAACTGCGTTGAAGAGAAAAATTTAAGCATCAACAGATCAAACTTCTGGTGGCAGAACTATTGTGTTGAAAAATAAGCTTGATAATTGTTGATGACTACGTTTGATGAGTGATGGTTGAACTGATCATCTACTAGATTAGCCTCATAATTTGAGAAGTCATGCAATCAATCACTAAAGATTGCTTGAAAATGGAACGTTAGATTTGTTCAAAGTGCAATGTGTTTCGCTTTCACAAGTTCTAGGCAGTAAAGCTATGGCATATTAGGTTGTTCCGAAAGTTCTGCCGTTTCTTTTTTGAAAATTTGTAATTTTGCGCTATCTCAACGGATATGCATCCTTTTAATTTTATTTGGAAGCGTAAGTCTTTCGCTTTCGAATACTTTCCCTCCCAGCTTCTAATACACACTGACTGCAGAGATAGAAATGGAAAAAGAAGACCACATAAACTTCGGTCATTTTAAGTTAGGTCGCCAAAAGTGTGAAACGCCACGGAAAAATCCGAAAACGTAAGTGCACAGTTTTTTGATCTACCCTTTGCAACAGTAAAAAGCTTGTGCTGTTTGGACGTCTCTGTGAAAAGCTACAAATTTTTACGTTACTACAGAAAATGCCAAAATTAATTAATTTGTACTTTTTCCGAAAATCATAACTTTTTACGGGCACATCCGAACAGCACAAACTCTTCACAGTTGTAAGAACAGGTCAAAAAACCTATGTACATACGTTTTCAGAATTTTCCACAGTGGTACAGGTTTTTGGCGACCTAACTTAAAATGATAAAAGTTTATATGGTCTTCTTTTTCCATTTTTATCTCTGCAGTCAGTATGGTATGTATTAGAAGCTAGGAGGGAAAATATTCGAAAGCGAAAGACTTACGCTTCCAAATACAGTTGAAATGGTGCAAATCCGTTGAGGTAGCGAAAGTTACAAATTAAAAATGAAACGATAGAACTTTCGGAACAACCTAATATATCTCTTCCTAACATCTTTTCATAGCAGTAGTCTTCGATTTTAAGGTGTCCATCCGGGGTCAACAGTGCTTCATTTGATATCACGAAACCTATCATATTTAAGCTCTGGTTGTCCCTCGTAAAATCATGTCCATTAACAGGTAAAGAGCAAAATTAGAGCAGTTTCTATCGAAATTCTATCTCAATATCCGTCGTTAGCATTTGTAACTCAAAAGCAAACACCTGAGCATTGCCAATTGTTTGGAAAAATCTTATCTGTTCTTTAAAGGCAGTGGCTCGGCAAATTTCAACCTAGTCAAATTTGCGCTTACCTGGGGTTATTCAATACGCTGATCCCGAAAGTCCACTTTTGAAAGACTGAGAACGGCGAAAATAAGCGTTTTTTAATGCCCTTCCCTTTGGAACTGGACGAGTGGAGCAAGGCCGGCGACGCTAAATTGTGCAGGACCCAAGAATTATAGCGTTGTGTTGGGCAGCCTCCAATGATGAGAAGGAAATTGCCAATTCGTCCAGATGCGTGTAAGATTGGCCTGCTCGTGTAAGTTTGAAAGCGATTTTCTCGGCAGGGAAAGCACGCTGTGCAACCGGGATTGCACTGTTTTCATACTTGGGCGATAAGGAACCTTTTTTTTATCCTCGCATGTGTCCCGCTTAAGCAGGGTCTGCTTTCCTTGTCAGATGTCTCCATGTCATCCTATCTGAGGCAAGGTCTTCGTTTATACCAAGTTCTCGCCGGTCGGCCTTGATTCTATCCATCCACCTCATCTTGAGTCTACCTCTGAGCCTTTTGCCTGGTGCCTCCACAGCCAGGGCCAACTTGGTGATGTGGCTTTCATCCCTTCTGTGCACATGCCCATACCATCGTAACCTCTTTTCCTGCATTTTCTGGGCAATTGGAGCTACTTTCATTCGCGCTCGTATGGTGTCATTGCAGATGTGATCCTTCAGTGTGACTCCTAAGGTCCATCGTAGCATCCTTGTTTCCATGACACTGAGCTTGCGCTCCTCGTTCCGCGTACACGGCCAGCATTCACTGCCATACAGTGCTGCTGGGCGGATAACGGTCCGGTACAGTTGGGACTTGAATTGCACTGGCATTCGTCTGTCGCACAGAACTCCTGTCAAGGTTCTCCATTTCATCCACGCTGTATTCATCCTGCCTGCGACCTCCTCTTGTAAGCCTCCCTCCGCTGAGATGTGACTGCCTAGGTATCTGTATGACATTGTCTTCTTTAGCTCTTCACCATCGATGCTTACGGTACCTGGAGTTTGTCTCCCCACTTCCATATATTCTGTCTTCCTAGTGTTGAGCTTCAGGCCATAAAACTCTAGCCTATTTTTCCAGTTTTGCACCTCGTCTTGTAGCTCCTTTCTGGTACTTGCTATCAAGACCACATCATCTGCGTAGAGAAGTGTCCAAGGGGGTTCTCGTCTGAGCGGTTCCATCACGGCGTTCATCACCGTGATGAAGAGCAAGGGAGAGAGAACTGAACCTTGATGTACTCCAACTTTGATTTCGAATTCTTTCGATTGCCCTGCAGCTGTTTGCACGTGGCTTGACGCGTTGGTAGATCAACTTTATCCACTGAACGTACTCCTCCGGCACCCTGTGTTTCCGTAAGGCCCACCATATGACTTCATGGGGCACCTTATCGAAGGCTTTCTCTAGGTCCAGGAAGGCTGCATGCAATTCCTTCTGCTTCTCTCTGTATTTCTCCATGACTATCCGAGCGGAGTGGATTGAGTCAGTTGTACCTACTCCTTTCACAAATCCGCGCTGATTTGGTGACAACTCTATGATATCTCGAAGGCGTGTTTCGATTACTCTTTCGAAGATTTTTAGAGTGTGGCTCATCAGTCGGATTAGTCGGTAGGATGCGCAGTTTGCTATATCTCCTTTGTTCTTCCATATCGGGATGGTCGTGCTGGTGCAGTCGCGAGGCATACTCTTGCTCCTTAAGATTTGATTGAGGAGACTCGTTAGCCATGTGGCTCCGGATTGTCCACATATTTTCCAGAACTCGCTTGGTATGTCATCTGGACCAGTCGCTTTGCCATTCTTTGTTCTTCTTATGGCCAGCCATACTTCCTCTTCCGTGACTGCTGGTACTGGTCCCTCTATGAAGCTGGCTTCTGGGATGGAGTTGATGGTGCGGCCTGTGGTGGCCATTTCTTCGAAGTAGGTTCTCCATCGTTCGGTAATGTCCTCTGGTTTTCTTAGCGTCCTACCAAGTTTGTCTTTGATATGGAGGAAGTGTTCCATATCTTTCGTGGACTCCGCTCTTGTTCTCGCTATCCGGTATATCTCGCGTTCTCCCTCGCGAAACTCTAGTTGGTCGTAGAGCTCTTTCAAGTACACCTGTTTTGCCTTCTTTACGGAAGCCTTCGCAGCGCGTTTGGCTTGTTGGTACGTCTGGCGATCGCCCTCCAGTTTCGTCTTATGCCATCGCTTGTAAGCATCCTTCTTCTCCTTTATAGCTTTTTGTACTTCGTCATTCCACCACCATGTTTCTCGATTAATCCTTCTTTCTCCCGGCTTTGTACTGCCCAGGATCACGTGTGCCACTTGGTGGACTCGATCTTTCAAGCTTGCCCAGGATTGCTCTGGGTTCTCTTGCAGGCTTGGTAGAGTCGTTAGCAGTGCTTGTTTCGCTGCGCTGTTGGTCTTCAATCTCCACCATTTGATGCGTGTCCTGGTCTCTGTGGCTCTCCTGGTGTGCCCATCCACTGGAATTTTGATGTCGAGAAGGAGTGGCCTGTGTTGAGGTATGCAGCTCTCACCGGGAATGACTTTGCAGTCCTTTACAATTTTAAGGTCGCACTGTCGGATAGCCCAGAAGTCTATCTGCGTTCGTCGGCCGCCACTCGCATATGTAATGAGGTGGTCATCCTTCTTGATGTAGTATGTGTTCGCCAAGACCAGATCATGGGCTGAGGCGAATTCCAGAATACGCTCACCTTCTTCATTGCATGTTCCGTATCCGTGGCCTCCGTGACATTTTCCGGCTTCTCCTCGCCTTTCTCCCACATGTCCGTTGAGGTCCGCTCCTAGCAGGAGTGTCTCTTCCAGTGGAGTTGAACTGATGTGGTCATCCAGCTCCTGCCAGAACGCGTCCTTTTCATCATCCTTACATCCGACTTGTGGCGCATAGGCAGTGATTATTCGTAGGACATGTTTCCCGGTGTCTACCTTTATGCTCATCAGACGATCGCTTATGCGCTGAACGTCAACTATATTGTTCCTTAGAGTCTCCGAGACAGCTATCCCAATCCCGTTTCTGGTGCAGGTAGCACCGTTGTAGAGGAGCTTATATCCATCTCCGATGTCGCGTGACTTTGCCCCGCTCCACTTCGTTTCCTGTATGCAGGCTACATCGACTCGCCGTCTCTTCAGAAGATCTGCTAACTCTCGCGAACGAGAGGTGAGTGTACCCATATTGATGGTAGCTAGACGGAGAGTCTGCGATGCCTTGGATCGTTGCCTCTGGTGAACTAGCCGCTTTAGCCGTTCCCGTTCACCTTGCTGGGACGGTAACCCTCGCCCACCATTCGCATTCGTCGGGCTCGAATGCGCGTCGACTCCGGGGGACGCCCTAGCCTTTACTCGAAATTCTTTATGAGACATGTCTGCATTGTAGATGCGACGGGCTGTTTCTCAGCCGGCTTGTCGCATGCCCTTCTTTGAAAGGGCAGCCTGACGCTGGAATTGTGAGCAGAATTTTGTCGCAGAAATTAGGCTCAGGGTGGAATCGAACCCGTGACCTTCAGCACGGCAATGTTACGTAGAGCACTAACCACTAGACTAACTCTGCTCTGGGCGATAAGGAACCTACGGCGTTAAAATCCTGGATTGTTGGATTTGCCGATCCACTGCCTTTAAGTGCGTCCAACTTCTTTGCCATGACTATTCGCATCATTTTGGAGCTTTCCTTGTAGAACATATTCATGATGTCGATTTTCGATTGTAGCTCTTGTTTGCCGGCTCTGACTTCCTCGATGCAGGTTGGTATTAGGTCCAGATAGTGTGAGCAGATCTTTTGCCGCTCTCCTTCATCATCTGGAAGAATAATTTCCTCACCATAGTGCTCATACTTCTGCAGTATTTCCTCGAGCTTATTGGTATATGTCCTCAGATCGTCTATGATGAGTTGGAGACTTGTATCGCTCCTTTGTAGTATCCGCTGTCCTCCTTGGAAAAGCATGGTATCGGTCGTGTTTGGCCGATGCACCAAAATATCTCGGTGGTTCAAGGTTTTATATAGAACACATTAGCTAATAAGCTTTATGAGTCAGACGACGTGCACGTATTAGTGCAGTGGTAGAATGCTAACATACAGTCGAGTAGATTTAGCGGTAAATATAGTGTGCTTGCACAGAAGGTGAAATGCGGTAAAATTGGCGCGTGAAGAAATAATTTCGACTATGACGCCGGCCAATTGCGCGCGCAAAATACCCGCGGTACTGACGTGGCTACTTGTTCACGCGCAAATTTCACCGCATTTCACCTTCTGTGCAAGCACACTATATTTACCGCCAAATCTACTCGACTGTAAACAGGCACAGTTACTCGACAATGTCTGGGCAATAAAGATACATATATCACAGCAGGTCATGCTCAAGCGTGACCTTTACGGTACTCTGGCAACAGAAAATAGGCTACAAAAAGATTTGCCGTTTAGAGCGGCACAGTATTCGTTTGTTATTGAATCATCAATGTTCGCGAAACTCTTTCCCATGAATATTTTTGAGTGAAATAGATCGTTGGGTTTCGTAATTTCCCAAATACATGCTTGATTACAGAGCGTCACACTCAACATATCTCTCCTGCATTGAACCCATGCCCACAATCACGGAAGAGGAAGAAATCGAGTTTACAGTGATACGATTCTGAACAGCACCTACTGCAGGCAACGAGAATGAATGTCTCATGTGAACATGTGATCAAACGTCATTCAGAGTGTAATGGTTTATTACTTGCATGAGTGATGCGCACCACAGTGCTTCACGTAGTGTCAGTGAAGCTGCGTCATGTTGTCGACCCCACCTCTTTAATCCTTGAACATGTCAAGGAATCCAGAGAGGTAACTGTTAGTTTTTTATGCATGCCTCTTGCTCCTTCCTGCTCAATTGAGTTTTGCAAGCATGATGTATTGGTCGTAAAGAATACTACGCAAGCACTTGTTCAAATTCAAAACCGAGTTTGAAGGAGAAATCATTTGAATTATTGATACTGCATCGTAGTAATAGCCATGGGTATGCAACAGTAATGTTCTATCATTATAAATAGATTACTGAAATAACAATCACACACTAGTCAAATACCAACTTTCTCCTTTCGCCTTTCTTCTTCAGATTTAGCGAACTGGTTTGATAAAAATAGAGACAAAGCCGATCTAAGGCAAGGGTTTCGCAATTCGTTCGTTTTAAAAAATGATTTAGTTAAACTTAGTCATGACTACTCATGTGGCTTATAAACGGCTGGAGAGCTGATATTTGGCGCTGTAAGAGATCTGCAATCCTGACGGCGAAGAATTCCAACTCTTGCCATAACTATCAAAAATCTTTACCCTCGCATACTAAAATCTGTTTCCTTCTGTTACGAAAGGGTCTAAATTTGAGTTCACTGCAATTGATTGTGGTACTCACAATCCTTCGCATCCTCTAAATTTAGCGTTCCATGCGGTTTTCAATGAAACTGGCGCTGTGTGCAGAAAGCAGTTACGATCAGTGGTAAGCGTAACACCGTCTAACGTCTTTGAACAAAGCTGAAAATTGTGCACTGTTATTGATAAAAAGCGAGCCTTCCTCGATTTTTTCAAAGCGCCATTCTCTTTACTGACTACAATAAATCCCAATACAAAATTGGACACTCACTGCGCTAGCTCTTCATTTCAATTTGCAATCAACTCGCTAAATTAGGAAGGTCAAAGGAGTCATAGGAGTGTTCGATTTCTGTTTCAGCAATTCATTATTCTTTTCCTGCTTTGTTCAGTGGAGTAAGATAGAATTATCATTATATTACGCTTTAACACGCTTTACAAAAACCATCTAAACAAGATTGTTGAGTAGCTTGCAAGTTCATACGTGTGATCTATCTTATACTCAAAACCTTGGTCTGTATTGGTCGTATATATAGTTTGTTCCCCAGCAAGATTCCCATAGGTACCACGTCATCTCGCAGCCTTTCTCACTTTCGAACGTGTTAACCTCAGGCAGTTTCGTTGAAATCTCAAAAGAAACGTGTCAAGAAGAGCGAAAGGCAGCGTTGCCCACGTACGCACGCTTGTCCACATGGAGCTTTTTTGGGGCACAGGATATATGTTCGCGTTTTGTTTGAAAAAATTTCATTTTTGAGCCGATCGCGACGCTGTGCACACATACACTTGGGGGCGGAGCGAGTGTCGTAGGCTACTTTTCGTTATCGGATAGCAATTCATATGAATATTGATTTTTTTGCAAAACTTGAGCTACGGAGCTGAGAGACGGCAAGGGAGATGCACACAGGGAATGTAATAATGTAATAATATTGCAATAATATAATAATGTAATAGTATTAGGTGATTCAAAAATAATGGCCGTTTTTTCCAAGCCTTTTTCAAGATAACATTTGTATCAAAACTTCTTCTTTGAAATAACCACAGCATAACATTAGAAGATCTTTTCATGCTCTATCTACCGATAGTTGAAGCCGTTTACTACCAGCATCAATTTTTATAAAGTTAGTAAGCTTCACATAACAGCATCCAACATCAGATCGTCGCGTTCATTCTTCTGGCCAGTTCGAACCCGAAAAAGGGCGATCCTCCGGAAATTTAGCTGCTTTATGTTGAAAAAATTGCTCACATTATGCATTTTATCATTCTCTCAAAAATTATCTAAACCGAGCGGCGCCATAACATGGTTGGTCGTTTTGGTCCTTCCGTGACACATAAATTTCTTCTAAAAGAAGCAATCGTCAAAGCTTTTTTTCTGTAAGCGTAAGAGTAGGGCATCCTCGTGACAGTTTTTGCAAGAACTCATCTGTTCAGGACGCGGAAAAATGTAAAATTCTACAATCTAAGACTTTGAGACCTAATAAAAAAGTTGAAAAAACTGACAATTTTGAATTTCACTTTCTTCCTCCTTTGCAAATTTTCTCTGTCCAGGCCCTTTGCATCTTCTTTTCACCCACTGGATTGCGGCTACAAAATAGGCAACTCATCATCTTATATATAAAGCTGAATGTCTGTTTGTCTGTCTGTATGTCTGTCTGTCTGTATGTACGTATGTTCCGAATAGAAAATTCCATTTCTGAACCGATCCGGACCAAACTTGGCACACATACACTACGGGCCCCGGCGGGTGTCATAGGCTACTTTTCGTCATCGATCGATATCGATTTTATCGATTTTTATCGATTTTTTTGCTGAGTTCACCTACGGGGCTGGGAGTTGGCATAGGGGGGTAATCGAGCATGGGGATTCCGAATACAATATTGGTTTTCAGGATTATCGATTACTTTTATCGATTTTATCGATTTTTTTGCAAAGTTTGAGCTACGGGGCTGGGAGTTCGCACAGGGGGGTAATCGAGCATGGGGATTCCGAATACAATATTGGTTTTCGGGATTATCGATTACTATTATCGATTTTATCGATTTTTTTGCAAAGTTTGAGCTAGGGGGCTGGGAGTTGGCACAGGGGGGTAATCGAGCATGCTGATCACCCCCAAGGGGGGTGATCAGCATGCTCGATTACACCCCTTGCCAAATTCCAGCCCCCTAGCTCAAATTTTCAAAAAATCGATAAAATCGATAAAAGTAATGGACGATCCTGAAAACTAATATTGTGTTCGTAATCAGCATGCTCGATTACCCCCCTGTGCAAACTCCCAGCCCCGCAGGTCAAACTTCACAAAAAAAAATCGATAAAATCGATAAAAGTAATGGACGATCCTGAAAACTAATATTGTATTCGAAATCCCCATGCTCACTTCCCCCCCTGTGCCAACTCCTAGCCCTGTAGGTGAACTCTGCAAAAAAATCGATAAAAATCGGTAAAATCGACATCGATCGATAACGAAAAGTGGACTGTGACACCCGCCGGGGCCCGAAGTGTATGTGTGCCAAGTTTGGTCCGGATACGGCGGAGCCGGGTAAGCCAGCTAGTTTATAATAACAAACTTCGAAGGGATTTATGATCTGTTAAAAACAGGGTAAAAAAAATGTTCTTATTTTCCAATCCATATCTTTCTGCCCCTTTGTGACGTGAGTATAGCTCAATGTGTGCAACATTGCAAAAGGATTATTTATAAAAAGGTCTCATCATTTATAATAACAAACTTCGAAGGGATTTATGATCTGTTAAAAACAGGGTAAAAAAAATGTTCTTATTTTCCAATCCATATCTTTCTGCTCCTTTGTGACGTGAGTATAGCTCAATGTGTGCAACATTGCAAAAGGATTATTTATAAAAAAGGTCTCATCATTTATAATAACAAACTTCGAAGGGATTTATGATCTGTTAAAAACAGGGTAAAAAAAATGTTCTTATTTTCCAATCCATATCTTTCTGCCCGTTTGTGACGTGAGTATAGCTCAATGTGTGCAACATTGCAAAAGGGTTATTTATATAAGAAAGGTCTCATCATTTATAATAACAAACTTCAAAGGGATTTATGATCTGTTAAAAACAGGGTAAAAAAAATGTTCTTATTTTCCAATTCATATCTTTCTGCCCGTTTGTGACGTAAGTATAGCTCAATGTGTGCAACATTGCAAAAGGGTCTCCTTACCGCACTCGGGAATACAGATTTTTTAGAAAGTTATGGCACGTCAAAGTGAGAATTTGTAAAATGGCCATTACTCTGCATCAACCTAATATAATCTTATATATAAAGCTGAATGTCTGTTTGTCTGTAGGTCTGTCTGTATGTCTGTATGTCTGTCTGTACGTATGTTCCGAATAGAAAATTCCATTTCTGAATCGATCCGGACCAAACTTGACACACATACACTTCGGGCCCCGGTGGGTGTCATAGGCTACTTTTCGTCATCGATCGATATCGATTTTATCGATTTTTTCCAAATTTGAGCTACAGGGCTGGGAGTTGGCACAGGGGGGTAATCGGGCATGCTAATTACAAATATATTATTGACAGGGCCGGGCGGAGCCGGGTAAGCCATCTAGTAATATGATTACATTGTACTATGTGAAATGACTATCATGTAGATGCTCAAAGGGAGACTACAGAAAGTGGACATAAATCAACCGTACGCAAACGACATAAAAAGCTAAGTAAAAAATGGAAATTCATAGGAATTGGAATGCTTAAAGGCAGTGTCCGGGCAAAAACTCGATTTTGAGATTTTGTGCTTACTTGGGACTATTCGCTATGCAGAATCCGAAAATGCACATTGTAGAGCGCGAAAATGGCGAAAAACGGCTCTAACACATGAGGGAAATGAGCAGGTGGGCGGGATCCTCCCCACTGCGAATTCACGTTCCCGGCTCCTGGAGCGACCTTCTCGCTTCCGGTTTCAAGTCAATCATTCGCACTTGACCGGTAGCGATGTCAGGACGGCTAGCGGATTCGAGAAAATCGCTCCGGGAGCTGGGAACGTGAATTCGCAGTGGGGAGGATCCCGCCCACCTGCTGATTTCCCTCCTGTGTTAGAGCCCCTTTTCGCCGTTTTCGCGCTTTCCAATGTGGATTTTCGGATTCAGCATGGCGAATAGGCCCGTATAAACACAAAATCTCAAAATCGGGTTTTTGCCCGGACACTGCCTTTAAACATAACAAAATGTTGGCGTTGAGATTTGATAACTGATGAAGCAAATTTTAAGACGGATTGACGGCACCAAACAAAAAACTCTAAGCTAAAGTATAAGCGATCTAAAAATTTAAAAATTTCAAGACAAAAGAGTTATTATCAATCAATGAGGTGGTTCTAAAATAAGACTGAGGGATGTTTTGCGAACTCCGCGTCATTTGAGAGAGAGCCTAAGGATGAAAAGGAAACTTTTGGCACTAGAAAAAATTTTGAGGATGCAAAGGAAAGGCATCTTGTGGAAGAACCTTTGGCAATCAAGGTTATCGCTTTACCTCTGGCAGAAGCCCTAACTTGTGAGAGGAATTTGAATCCAATGCACGGAAGTGGAGAATTCGTAACCTTGCTGAAACTTCAGGAAAGCGAACTTGAATTTTAATCAATTTGCTGATAAAGCCTTGTTTGGAAAATATTGGCAGTATTTTCCGAATCACCCATGCAGGTAATCGAGAATAACTTTGTCAGACTATTAGTGCTCAAAAACGGTGCAGCAAATTGTGAATAGTCTATTTTGTCATTGTTCCGTAAGCTGCAGCATGGATCAAATACCCTAATTTCACGAGTATAAGACGCACAAATTTTAGTTTTTCACGCATGCCCCTCAGCCGCCTCGTTTTATTTCAGAAAAAGATACTTATGCCGCGCGATACTCTGAGGCAATATGCAGCATTGTAAACAGCTTTTTGGTCGCGAAGTCCTTCGGCGTGTCTATGCTGTTCGGTTTTAGAATATCCCTACATCCTATACGCGTGAAATTAGGGTAGTTTTTTTTCAAGTGCATACTTTTCAAAAGTCATATCTTATTTAGTAGTATTTTCAGTTGTTTGCGGTGGAAAAAAAACGCTTCGAAAAACGATAGCCTATTGTTAATGTGCAAATAAATATCGCCTTGACTCACTAATGTTTTGGCCTCAACCCACTTGCTAGCGACCCGTAGGGTCGCTAGTCTGTATATATAATCTAAATTTGGTCATATGCTTGTCTCTACGGTGGCGCATGTTAGGCTCCCGCCAAAGTGCCCAAGTTATGCCAGCGCTACGCCAGCATTTCGATCGATAACGTGTATTTCGTTGGGGCGGGGCCAGCTGACGTCCCCAACGAAATACACGTGTATCGATCGAAATGCTGGCGTAGCGCTGGCATAACTTCGGCACTCTGGCGGGAGCCTTAGTCGTGTAGTAACTTGTTTCTGAAACGCATGTTTATTCATGTCATTCATCTATGACACCCGTCCCGCCCCGAAGTGTATGTGTGCCATGTTTGGTCCGGATCGGTTCAGAAATAAAAATTTCTCTTCGGAACATATGTATAGACATACATACAGACAGACATTCAGCTTTACATATAAGTTCCGCTACAATCGTCGCATGCCTAATCAGCACCAGAAAGACAGAGAGTGCAGAGAGTACGCATGAACTAAGTTTGCTTATCACAGCTGGCGAGATGTACGACCACGTGACTGCCGTCGCAACGTGCAACATAGTCGCGCAACAAACCTATTCTTTATGTGAAAAGGAGGTATTTGGAGGAGTACATTAAATCAAAGCGGCCACTGAAAAAACAAAAGTGTTGTTGAAAATCATCTCTTGGACAGCAGGAAAACAGCGATTGCCGGAAATTGAAGTAACGTTACAAGTGAAGCGCCAGCTGATGTGGCATCACGGCCAACGTAACCTTTTGGCCACGCTCAGCCAGCGCTGTGATGGCTCATGAGCGTCAACGTGAATGCAAGGCTCAGCTATCGCGCGCATATGGTAGGTCAATTTCAGGCAGACACCTCGATAATCCCTCTACACCAAAGCAGGTGAACATAAAGCACGCCCTTGCGACGCAAGTGAGAACTTTATTAAATGATAATTTCGAACAAGCATGCAATTGAGCGTGAACAACAGGAATTCGACAATATTTTTGAGAATTTGCAGATTCTAAAGACTAGGCGGAAACTGAATTACGAAGGAATCTGAAAAATAGATAATTGAGAGATAATCACAGCATATGAGTCACAATCGCAGTATAATTGAGACATTACAATTCTGTACAAGACAGTGTTGCAAAGATCATCCCGATTCAGACCCACTAGAGGTTGAGGAGCTGACACGCGAATGAATTGGGCATACCTAAACTTAAACAATAGACCGGTCGTTTCATGAACTGCATGGATTACAAAGCAGTCTCTCCTACGTCACACTCAACGAAAACAGCGAAATGGTTTGTTGAAAAACGAGAAATAGAGTTTTAAGTAGTACTGCACTGAATTCACAGCAGCACGCACTAATTTTTTGATGTAGCGCGAGGCAACCAAAAAAACACCTCACAAGGGAAAGAAGGTTGGTCGAAGTGGCTTTTTGAGATGATATGTACACGGTCTTGTAGAACTTGAAACACTGAATCCAAATCTATTTGTAATCTGCTGCGGGCTTCTGGGCGAGGAGTTACGGAAGTTTTTGTGAGTAGAGATTTAAATACAATTCTGATGTAAAATCAGTCGTAGCCTTTTCTCAACGTTCAAATGAGGCAGCAGAGAGTTGGTATATTTAAATGAAGAATAATTGTGGCACCAAGTGATTCGATTGCCAGTTGAGCTCCAGGAAAAATGTTACGATTAAATTTACACTAATTTTGCAACTAACTTTTTACTCACAAAAACCTTCATAATTCCTCGCGCAGAAGCCCGCAGCAGGTAACAAAGGTAGATTTGGAATCAGCGTTTCAAGCTCTAGTATACTTCTGGTCTTAAGAGGCCACTTCGACCAACCCTCCTTCCCTTGTCAGTAAGTGCGCGCTTTCAAAAATCGTTTAGCTTTCTAAATGCTATGATCATAAACTAGACGCTGGAAACTGAGGCTCCTTTGATGCTTCTTCCAGAAGTGTTTTTAATATACGGACATCTGACAAGGGAAGGATATTTGATTGCAGTGACGACTGGGTAAGCGGTGTAAATCGTGTATACCGTCCCCAGACGGTGATCTCTAAACCGTAATCCATATCTGCTATGACGTCATTCTGGAGGAGTTACAAAGGATTTTTGTGCAGTGGATAGTGGCTTGGACTGCGGAGCTGGGCGTCGTGGGTTCGATTCCTCTCGGATGCCATCCTTTTTGCATTTTTGTGGATTTTAGCAGGCAAGTTGCAAAACCTGTAGACATCAAAAAAAGTTGATTTTCACAATATGAAGCAATATATTTACATTTATTGGCACTGAACCACCGTTTAACCTAAAAACACTCGTTTTCGCCCTTTTCATTGAACACTTTACTCAATCTTACATTGAAAAATTCCGAATTCGTGCTTGACATAGAGAGGAGCAGCTAACCTGTCAAAAACGGCATCTTTATCAATTTTTTGATGCACAATATGTTAATCGATTGCAATGACATAGAGAGGAGCAGCTAACCTGTCAAAAATGGCATATTTATCAATTTTTTGATGCACAATATGTTAATCGATTGCAATGTTCTGTCCATAACTGGTGAAAATCAATTTTTTTGATGTCTACAGGTTTTACAAGTTGCCTGCTAAAATCCACAAAAATGCAAAAAGGGTGGCATCCGAGAGGAATCGAACCCACGATGTCCAGTTCCGCAGTCCAAGCCACTATCCACTGCACCAAAACCCCTTATAACTCCTCCAGAATGACGTCATAGCAGATATGGAATACGGTTTAGAGATCATCCTCTGAGGACGTTATACGCGGTATACACCGGTTACCCAACCGTCACTGCGATCAATGCGATCAAATATCCTTCCTTTGTGAGACGAGAAAGATGGAGCGTTTTTAGCTCTCCTGCTACCGAGTGCCCGCGGGAGATAGATACACGCGTGCAGTTTTTGCTGCTTCAAACCCTACAGTCTGTCCCAATCCCATTCAGGCCGAAAATGGCCCGGCAGAAGCCCACGTCGCTAGAGTTTTGCGTCGCGCCTAAGGCCTAAGGCATACCTCGCGCGATTTCCGTCGCTACGCGATTCGGCACAGAAGCGGCTCTTCGTAATTGGTCGTTACCGCCCTTTGTTTGCACAGAACTTGATCCGTTTGCAAGAACTTACAAAAGCTACGCGTCTATGCTTTTGAAAACTGCCCATGATGAATTTGTGAAAATCTGGCAGAATGCCAAGACGCGTGGACGTCGCGACTTAGTCAAATCGCGTAAGGTATGCCTTAGGCCTCGGACATACCTCGCGCGATTCCAGTCGCTGCGCGATTTGTCACAGAACAACGGTTCATAATTGGTCGTCGGAGCGCTTTGTTAAGGCAGGACTTGATCAGTTCGCAACAAATTACAAAAGCTACGCACCCATGTATTGGAGAGCCGCGCACGATAAATGTGGAAACATCTGGCAAACTGCCAGGTCGCGTGAACGTCGCGATTTGGCCGAATCGCGCGAGGTATGCCTTAGGCCTTAGGCCTAAGGCTACTTCCCGCGATTTGGCAAAATCGCTACATCCCCGCGACTTGGCGATTTGCCAGATGTCTACAGATTAACCATGCGCGGCTCTCAGATGCATGGGCGCATAGATTTCGTAAGTTGTACCAGACGCAGCAAGTCTGGTCCAGGCAAAGTGTGTTTACGATCAGCTATGAAGAGTTCTTGCAGTGGCAGATCGCGCAGCGACTAAAATCGCGTGAGGTATGCCTTAGACCTTAGGCCTTCTGCTCTCTCTTAAATCTCTTCCCTTTCCCCTACAGTGCGCACATGCAGAGCAAACCCCTATTGCTGCGAGCGCGCAAATTTACTCCAACCGTTCGGCCTGCTGCCGATTGGGACAGACTGTATGAGGCGAGTTTACATCACGACTGAGAAAAACCAACCTCTATACGTTTCGTGATACTACCGATATCGGACCATCCAAATATTTAGCAAGTGCACGCAATTTGGCACGGACTAGTCCTAGTTGACAATTTTTGGAAGCCTGGAGAGATAAGAATAAGGATTTGGGCACACATCCATTATTACCTTCAGTGCAAGAAGCATATTAGCAACTCGAGTAGCTGCCATGACACCATCCTCACAGACAATCATAGCTTCTTGTAGATCTTCTCTACCACCTGCAAAAGAATTTAGAGTAACGACAAATCAACCGTTTTCTGATGAAAGGGATTCTCACCTTTCTTGTCGAATGATTCCCATATACTGGATATCAAAGCAGCTGACACGTTTGCATGGTCTTTGCTGTCACCATAACCGCTATACGCGAGCAGAAGTCCTGGAAGTTCAGTTTTGACTGACACTATGTCGCGCTTTCTTGTGTTTTAGTTGGTCATGTATCAATCATTCTATGACTCCTCGAGACCGCTTTGACATATTGTTCAAACAAACCTGATAGGGTAATAAGCAAGTTAATGCTCGTAATCTAATTCATCTAGAATCATTTGCGACCTGGAATTACTAGAGAGTAAGTTCGAGTTTGTTGACAATGTCCGCAAAACGGTCTCGAGTCTCCTAGTTAGAGAATAGAGATTATTCTTAGCTCATAAGATTAGCCAGTTTCATTAAATTGCTGAATTCCTAACCACTGAGGCAGCTCATCTGACACATACATACGCGACGGCAGAGATTGAAGAGTGTGGTAAACAAATACTCGCCACGCTGATTGCGTTCGTTCTCTGCGCAAGATCCATTGAAAGGATATAACCTCCACCTAGACAAGCAAAAATGAAAAACAGCTAGAAAATCAAACGGCATTCTACTACTACAAAATATTCGCCATCTTTAGACCTAAAGACGCTTCGAAAACTCTAATACAGGCGCAAAGGGGAAACGCCGTTCATAACTACCAAGCAATCGTTTGGGTGATTCATACTGAGTTTCGAGATTCAAGACCAGCGTTTCGAGGCGGATATCATGACATGTATTATAGTCGCCCTCCCCCCACTAGACACTCAGTGGACGAATTTGAATTTGAGCAGGAGCAAATGGCTAGCGTCAGGGCGCGGCAGACGCCGCCACGGTCAAAGTGTGCACATATACTGTTTTTTTTTTCATTTCTCTTCGTGTTTCTTTGTTGTTACTCTTCTTGCGGCAATGCATCATATCAGATTCGAGATTTTGCTACCGGTGATCGTTGTTCCATGCTGTTATTATCGTTTGCCTTATATTTTTTTCCAGATAAAGCTGAAAATACACGCAGTGAAGACTAGGGGCTAGGAATTCACTTCTTCACAGATAAGGGAACAAACAAACAACCAAGTGCTTACGTGCAATTAAGGATATACGTATGGCATGGATATTGCCATGAACAAGTATTAGGTTGTAACAGAATTAATGCAGGTTTTCTGAATTTTGTGTTTGAATCATTATAACTTTTTACACAAATAGTCTTTTCGTGTGCAGCACGAATTGTTGTAATCAGCAAACCTTTCTCAACTCAGTATGCATTATTGTCTTGTTGTAGCTTCACTGAGAAAAATCTTATAGCCCGAACTCTGCCAAGAATTTTTTCAGAAAACCTTCACTTTAAGAGACCATTACTTACTATCAAATGTAGTAAGGTTAGCGCAAATATAACTCACTGTGTAGCCTACGGTTGTGCAGCAGCGCTAAATTCGGAATTGAAAAAGAATTCTTTGCAAGAGGATATTTGAAAAAATTTTGAAAGTACTCATTTTTTTTCGACATTTCTGAGAATTTGAAAAATCGCTTTTCTGAAACTTTTGAATTTTTTCAAAGCTGTGTAGGGAGAATGGCTCCCGATTTTTTCAGCCATAAATGCCCAAAGTCTATTCTTCCTATATAAAGCGGAAGCTCCGCAGTCGCTTCGGGCTGAGGATTTTTACATAATAGAGACGGACCACGGCGACCGCTAAATTTTGCTCTGAAAATTTTCGACTCAGATGTTTTCAGAATTCATGATTTAGCATACATTTTGTAATATAGTCACTCAAAAATAATATGTAAATTTGCAGCGATTTCCGATTGTTTCTGGTGGTTTTAGAGCCAGGTATGTTGAGAGAGAGAATTTCGAGATTTGGTTTTTTCCATTCATGAGCCCAGAACTTCTAGACAAATTCACTTCTACTGAAACGAAAGAATGCATAAGAAATTAGAAGAAAAGAGCTTCCAAATAATATGCAAAACTCTCTGAGAAAACATTTTCCCTTTCTAAACCAGCATTCTGAAAAAGGTGAGCGAAAAACCTGCATTAATTCTGTTACAACCTAATATGTCGGATGCTTCATCCAAAAAACACCTATACTTCTTGAAAAGATTCAGGTCTGAGAAAAAAAAGTTTGGAGAGCACACTCAATTAGGAAATTGATTCATAATTCACGAAAGACGCTTGTGCATGTGTTTTTTTTTTTACCGGAAAGGGCAATAAGCGGCATTTCATCAAGAATCTTCAACTGCATCGTAACCCCATCTTTACCTGAAAAAATGTGAGGCAAACGATAATGACAGCATGAAACAACGATCACCGGTAGCAAAATCTCGAATCTGATATGATGCATTGCCGCAAGAAGAGTAACAACAAAGAAACACGAAGAGAAATGAAAAAACAGCATATGCGCACACTTCGACAGTGGCGGCGTCTGCCGCGCTCTGACGCTAGCCATTTGCTCCTGCTCAAATTCAAATTCGTCCACTGAGTGTCTAGTGGGGGAGGACGACTATATAACATTTAAAGTTCCACAGTTACTGTTACCACTGACTATCTTTTACCTTTAGAAACAGAGCTGAGACAACGAACTGCCTCATTAACAAGCAAAAAAAAGAAAATTAAAAAACTCCCCCCGTAATGCAACAAAATCGGATAGTAAACCAGAGCATTGGCTTCAGGAACTAAGGCTGAGCACTACCAATCAATTCCTTACCAAAAAAAGGAAGGAAAGTACGAGTTTAAAACATATGGAAACGGACGATCATTATGGATAACACATACCTTCTCGATTGAAGAGTAAAGCGCCTGACACCTCGGCTGTGTTCACTTGACCAAGCACCTCGACTAAAGCTTTTTGACGAAGCATCCTAAGCCACCCACTTTACATCAAGAATATGTAGGTTTATTGGAGGTAAGCAAAGAAAGAACTATTTTTCCGAAAAGCAACATCCAAATGCGAACAAAGATTCATTTACAAAGACTATAACATTCCAAATCAACGACGAATAGATACATACAATGAGCAGAACAATCCCAAGACAAAACTATTCCGTCCAACGATGACTACAGGTGGTATCCATACATACATAGTACAACCTCATCTCCTCCTGAAACGGCAAAAACAGAAGTAGAAAATATCATTTTGCAAAAATATAAAAAATAGAAGCATCTGTAAGTAACTGCTCGTTTTCGAATTATGTGTTCCACAAGCAAATAAGATGTTTCACTATGTAAAAAAAAATCGGAAAAGGCGCAAACCTCAGCTCTCCGAGTTTGCGCTTGGAAGAACACTGCTTGGGTTCCACCGCATTTCGGACATGGATGGTCTTCCGTTTTTGGTAAAGTGGGATCATGAACCACATCTGCGCAAATTTGTGTCAATTCGCTGTAAAAGATTTTACGGCGCATTTGTCTGAGCGTAAACAGCGTGCAAATCACATCACTCACTCCACCTCATGCACTAATTTGTTGACGTAAATGCATGGATTGTCGGCAATCTGCTTGTGGTCACAATTTCGGCATGCGTACATCAGCTGTCGGTGTTCCTTATCCTCCCTCGGGTACAACATATTGTTACTGGAAAATTTTCGAAATATGAAATTTTTCAATAACACTTTTGCAAAGACAAAGAAAAAAGTCCAAAAATATAGTGCTTGCGCCTAAATTCTGCTATGATGTTTGAATGCAGCAGTATTTTATGCAAAGGCTGAAGTATCATACTTTTCCTGGAGCTCCATCCAAATGTTCAAAAATCAAAGGAATCAAATTACAATGGCGGTCAGAGCTATTGTCGTCACCCTTATCTCTTCACGGCCAAAACAGCAAAAATAGAATGCTGGTTGGATAGTTATGAGAAAATTATGGGAAAACAAGCGCAAAATTGGGGAAGAAATGACCAGCTGAAATGGAGGGCAAAGAAAACCTTTCAAGTTTGGGTTACTTGGTTTTGATGCAGCGGTGCTGTGGTGACGCTTTATAATCAAAGGAACGTCCCGCTTAATTAGGAAAACTGCTCGCCAAAGTGTTTGTAACTTGAGTTTAATTACAAGTAAAACATGGTATGTATAGTTATCCCTTTAGGGCAATTAGGCACGAGCGATTATCATGAACATAAATTGTTTGGGTCTATGTAACGCCAAATGCAGTGGACACACTATGCGCAGTAAAAATGAAGATCAAAGAAAAAACTTTCTAACGAATAAAGAACAGTGAGTGACCGGTTGAAAAGATAAACTCGTCAAATCTGTCGCTTTATTATTACATACAACTGCGTAAAAAATGCGTAAAATAAGCAAAATCCAAGAAATCACAAAATGTTACTCACCATTCTGGACAAAACTTTATTCCTACAAAGCCTGGACCGCTCATGATCTGTAACAAGTAATGATAGTATTACAAGTGTTGTGTACAGCAACTGTCAATGAGTTATAGAAAAACAGTAGATGCACCGGAGATCTTGACTCAGAGATAGATAGAAAATCAGCTTTAGCAACAACACAAGTAAAAAAAGTTTATTCGAATAATTTCACAAATTCAAAAGTGTAAAGTGAATCAAAAACTATTGTACATGCTGTATTATGTACACATCGCTGTCTTACAAAAGAATGAACAAAGTTAAAACAAGGGAACCCATGTACAAGCAGCTCATCGGCTTTGAAAACACGAGCTGAAATGACTATTTCCCATTATCACACAAACATGGAAAAACCGAAATTACACGACAATGCGATTAATATCATGAAAAATGGTTATAGTGAAGCAAGGAGCATTGAAAACTCGATTTAGTCGCAGTATAAAAGAATAAACAGCATAATTCGCTGGAGGTGAAGCAAAAGTAATCTGTACATTAATGTTCAAGACTCTTCATTCGTCCCAGTCCACCCAGTTGTCATCCTTCTTTTCCTTATCTTTGCCGTCACCTTCATCTTTCGGGCGTGGAGTTGTTGGTCCAGTCTCATCATCACCATTCGTTGAGCTGATTTCCTAGAGAAAAACTGTACTGCTCGAATCACAAAAGCAAAAAAGGATGGCGGCTCCATTTGAAGAAGAATCTCATGGAATAAAACTTTTCCAGACTATAACGAAATTTCATCATGTGCTTTAGGCTATGAAGAAAAGTTGATGGATCACACATTTTGGAATCTCCAGAAGAGGAGCAAATTCGAGATTTCTGAGCAAAAGGGAATCTTACTGGAGTTGTAAATAACTGCCCCACAAAGAAAGGCTACCATCAAAAGCTGTATTACTGGCTAAAAAACCAGATAACCAAGATACAAGGATTGAGTCGCGTGTTATGAACTACAACTGCTGAACAAGCAGAACCACAAACGGGTTCCTTTATAATTCTCTCTGCGCTCTCAAACGTTTTTTTTTTGCCATCGAGCGCCTATTCGAACAGATAAACCATATGCCGAGATAAAGTGGTCAGGGCTTTCAAAATCTACTGCAATGACTAACAAAAAAATTGTGAACATTTTTTACGCCATAACAAGAGAAAACCATGGTCAATGCGCAATCTATTCTATCGCGGTTGAATCGACCACAAATGAGCATAATGCTTATTCAATAAAAACTACGCCAAACAAAAATGCGATAAATTCCAAAGACAGAAGAGAAAATTTAGACCAGACAACTTCCTTGATTTGAAAAGCACCCACCTCTACATAGTTCTTCTCGCTACATACACTCCAATCATCAGCAGATGCAGCGGGGCTGGTTGGTTGTTGGTCTACAACGGCTATTGATCCATCAGAACTAGGAGACTCACCTAAAGACTAACTATGGCAGCAGAAAGAAGTAAAAACAAATATTCTGTCACCTTTCTTGGATTTCTTCCCATCAGCTCCGGTCTTGACAGAAAGTTCTTTCAATGCAAAAGAGTGTTGTAGTTCTTCATCCATTTCAGCAATTTGTACCGCGAAAAAATAACGAGACCAAAACGTCTTTGCATCAATTTCGGATGGTACCTGAAAAGATTTTCCACTTTCTATATTTGAGAGCCTTCGTAAGGTTGGCTCACCATTTTTCCATATATCTCCCTCATTTTAGGGTTATTTGCCAACAATATATTGATTTCTGCATCATACTCTTCCATTACAAATCGAGACACCCATTTTTCATACGCTTCAAGATTCTCGGGCTCATTACGATAAGTTGACTCCGTTGACTGTAATTCCAAAAGCTTCGCCTGAAACTGAGCAGATATTAGAAAGAGCAGGTATTGGGCTGAGCGTATTCATAATGGGTCTGAAAGTAGTTTGCCCAAAGCGGTATGGAAAGCGAGCATAAGAGTTAGCCGTGCGCTCACACATTTGCAATTCCCAGTTACTATTATATTAGGTTGTAAAGAAAGTTCCCGGGCACTTTTGGAAAGTTCATTTTCAAACACCTTTTTTCGGCGCTCGGTCGGACTTTGACACCAAGTTTTTTATACTGTTCAATAGAGGGAAGCCTGAAGTTTTCAGCAGGCCTTCTAAATTTTATCGACGCCAAGACGTGTTTGTTCTGCACATCAAAAAAGGAAGTCTTTGCAACCATAAAAATTTCACAATTTTCCTTCCTGCGCCCATTTTTCTGTGCAGTTCAAAAAATTTCGTCCAAATCATGAGTGATCTGATTGAGGAACCTGTTAGCTTCCAACCCGCAGCTGCACTCGAGTTTTGCGATTTGCGCTCAGAAATTACAAGCTGTCGAACTTGCCTCTGACTGCAACTCTTTTCGCAGCTGGCGTCGCTTCTGCGGGGATCGCCACGCCTGGATGATGGGTTCAAAAGGTGTGCAAGGCATTACCCCAACAATGTTCCCAGTAATCAAAAATTTGGTCCTTTCTGTGCAGAACTAGAAGACTTCAAACTCACTTACCCGAAAAATGGTGCATTTTTGGGGGCAAAAAATGGTCGATTTTTCAAACTTCCTGGGAAAAATTTTTTGCAGGTGGTCCTTCAAAAACATGAATGGTCCCCATAACGGCCCCAGCAGACCTCTATATAACCACAGCATCTGGGCTCTCCAGCTCTCATCATGCTTGAGATAGTCCTGCGCAAATAGGCCACTTTTCGCGACGACCTTTTTCCCTTCTGCGCATGCCGGTGGACCGCAGTGAGGTGCTGAGAAGCTAGCAAGACAAATATATGTTGTGGACAAAATTGTCTTTGCAATGAAGTTTGTAGCCAAAAAAGAATCAATCTGCTTGAAGTTACAGCGATTTGAAAAAAATTTTTGCAACTGCCCGGGAACTTTCTTTACAACCTAATAGTATCCGATGTAAACGGCACCATAGTGATGGAGAAGTAGGGACAAACTCTGACGCAAAAGTTCAGTAGAAGTTTCTGCCTTTTCTTGCCTGTTACTTCTTTTGCTTACAAAAAATCTGAGTGATCACTCGATGAGCCGTTATATCGGACAGTAGATATGAGAAACGCGGCATAGATCTTACTTATTGAGTCGTCATGCCCAAGTGCAGCTCCACGTTATCGACCTAATCGATCGTTCAAATTTCTCTGAATAAAGCGCAATAGGGCCTACCGCACTGGCAGTGCATCACCTCGACTTTCATACTCCTAGTTATCTAAGCCTAATAGGCATAACCATCGAAACACGTAGGCAATGATGTAAGCCTATTCATGAACAAGAAAAAAGGTTGATGAAAACTAAACTAACCGGGCTCAGGTTTGTCTTACGCATGATTCGTGGTCGGATAGTCTCAGTGATGTCGTCCTCGCCTCGAGTTGTTTCTTCCACTGCCAAACTTTTCACAGTGTCCGTTACACTGTCCACAACCGATTTCATCCAACCTAGTCCGATCGCTGCACTTTTTTCGACCTAAATGAATCCGACTAATAAAGGCAGAGAGAAACGGGAAGTTTACAACCGATACCTTGGCAGCCAATGTGTCTTCGTACGATTGCGATTTCGGAACAGAAGTGCTGGAGGTAGGCGGCTCAGCAGCAGGAGATGTTACGACCTCGGGGACTAATGGCTTCTCTTCAGCGTCTGGAGTAACCAACTTTTCCAGATACTGAGCCTGTTCCTTGATAACGTGTGTCGCCGTGTCAATACCTAATACGCAGTTGCATTTGAATGACCGCACTATACATGATTCAAGAAAGGAACTAACCTCCTTTGGCTGCATTAGTAAGATCGGTCACTTCCTGTGTCATCGCATCACCAAATTCAGCAAGATCTTTCTTCATAAGGTCGAGAGTGTTCTTGGTCTGAAAGCCTGGGATATATTGGGGATGCAAGTTTTGCTGAATTGCTCTCAAAGTCATAGGCACTAGCGTAGACTTTCCGCAACTAATGGTCAGATTTTCCATTATCGTATCTTCTGTGTTTGAGACAAAAATCAGCTTTTCAGCTCAAGGGTCCAATGCCGACCAACTTGCTTTTTGCCATAACGACTGTCGACAGAGTTATTAGGTTCTACCGGCCGCAAGAATTGAATAGTGCAACATCTCAGCTTTCTTAGTGTTTCTATAGTCCAAAAACAAAGTACAGCATTTGCAAAAACTCTGGAGCGCCACGGACTCATTACATCCAGAAAGTTCAAAATCAAAAGTCTCTGGTGCATCCCCTAAAACGAGAAACGGAATTCACGTTACACCCACATAACGATTTTTACGCTACCAAAACATCTCTGAAAAATCCCCCACAGAAACGAAATTTAACCTAT